CAGTTCCAGTCCGCAGGTCTGTGCTCACTATGCACGTTGCTTCCCATAATGCATTTGATTTTGGTCATATGCATACCCGATGATGCACAGGCATACGATAGTAAAAATAGGGGATTTGCTCTCTAAAAGTTCAATCGAGGGACACCGTTTTTAAAATTGCACATACACCTGAAACCAGTTTAGACTGAATTGGCTCCTTTATTCTTCTACCTGGGTATCTGTGAAGAATGTTTGAAGAGAACCTGTCCAAATTTTATTATCGTTAAGGGGGTCCCGTGTTGCTAACAGACTGCCGGGTTTGTTGTCTGGAGTGGGATATGTGTACAGTATGTGCAGGGGAGAGTCAGGCTGCCGGGTGCATTGTCAGGAGTAGGGGCACAGCCCGTATCAAGTGGAGGTGGAGGTCGCTGCACTGTCCTCTGCTCACCACCTCATTTCTGCTTTGTTCTATGGTTTCCCACCTCCCTCCCTTAAGGACCCGTATTTATGGTCTGATGGGTCCTCTTTCTAGTCTCTTGATCTCTCTCCACATTTATTTCCACCTAGACACACATTTTTAACAGTTTAGAGGCTAGGATCTGCATATGAGAGAGAACACATGATCTTTGCCTTTCTGAACCTGGATTATCTTGCTTAATGCACATTGTTCCTTTCCGTTCTATCCATTTTCCTGAAATTTTCATAATTTTGTTTTTCCTTATGGATGAATAAAATTGCATGTGTCGGGGCTGGAGAGATGACTCGGCAGTTAAGAACACTGGTTGTTCTTGCAGAAGACCCAAGTTCAAATCCCAGCACCCACATGGCAGCTAACAATTATCTGTAACTCCAGTTCCAGGGGATCCGATGGCCTCTTCTGTCCTCTACAGGCATTGCATGACATGGGTGCACTTACCCACATGCAAGCAATACACTCATACACATAAAATAAAAAGAATAAAATATTTTTTTAAATTGCATGTGTTGCTGGGTGTGGTGGCGCACGCCTGTGGTCCCAGCACTCTGGAGGCAGAGGCAAGCGGATCTGTGAGTTCAAGGCCAGCCTGGTCTACATAGTTCCAGGACAGCTGGGGCTACAGGGAGACCCTGTCTCAAAAAGACAAAAAAAAATTGCATGTTTCTACGTGGCACATTCTCATTAACCATTCATCAGCTGATGGACATCTAGGTTGATTCCATGTCCTGACTATTGTGATTGGAATTCAAGGAGCAAAGAGGAGGAGGTGTCTTTGTAGGAGGCGGCAGAGTCCTTTGGGAACATGTCCAGGTGTGGTCTAGCTGGGGCATATGGCAATTCTATTTTTTTTCAATTTTATTATTTTTATTTTATGTGTATGCATGCATTGCCTGCATGTAGGTAAGCGCACCCGTGTCCTGCAATACCTGAGGAGGTCAGAAGAGGCCATCAGATCCCCTAGAACTGGAGTTACTGACAGTTGTTAGCTGCCATGTGGGTGCTGGGATTCGAACCCAGGTCTTCTGCAAGAACAACCAGTGTTCTTAACTGCTGAACCATCTCTCCAGCCCCAGCAATTCTATTTTTAGGTTTTTGTTTTGTTTTGTTTGGTTTTTTGAGACAGGGTCACCTGTAGCCCCAGCTGGCCTGGAGCTCATTATGTAGACCAGGTTGGCCCTGCCTGCCTATCTGCCTGCCTCTGCCTCCCAAGTGCTGGGATTAAAGGCGTGGATTGCCATGCCCAGGCTATTTTCAGGTTTTAAAAATATTTTATTACATTTTATTGATTTGTTGTGTTTGTGGGAACATCCATGCTATGGTGCACAGTGTAGAGGTCAGAAGACAACTTGTAAGTGTTGGTTCTCCCCTTCATCCTATGGATCCTAGAGATCGAACTCAGGTCACCAGGTTTGATAGCAAGCATCTTTACCCACTGAGCCATCTCACTGACCTCAAATTTATTTTTCTTTTTAAAAATATTACTTTTAATTTTTTATGTGTATTTCCTGCATGTGTATAAATGCAGCCATCCTTATTTAATGCTGCTCAAGGGAATTCTTAGGAGACAGAAACTTCCAGAACTGCCCTGGTGGTAGCACGGGGCTCTCTGGGGCATGGCTCAGATGGAACTGGGCTTAGGCTCCTGAGACTCTGGTACTCTCCACTTGGTGGGTGGCCTCGGACAGGCACCCTGCTATCACAGCAGGACATCTCCCCACATTCGTCCCCATAGACTGGGCTTGTGTGGCTGCCCATCCAGTCAGTCTGCTCCATTCCCAGAGCCCTCATCCTCACTTGGCACAAACTGCCAGAGCCTGAGGTCCCCAGTGAAGGCATCTGCCACAGATGGACACCCAGATTGATGTCCTGGGACCACCTGATTGCCACCAACATTCTCCCCGGGCTCCATTGGAACCTTGTCACCTGCAGAAAATGCTCCAAAGCTCCTGACCTGCCTCCAACCCATCCCCACCTGTTCTCACCCACTAAAACATCGCTCCAGCCCCATGTGAAATCTTTTGTCCAGTGACAGCTTGGTGGCCATTGAGTGCCTCTGTCTTCACATGTGGCCCACTCAGCTCCCAGACTCATCCATCTTCTCTTTCTTACCCTCCTTGCAAGTATGGTTCTATATTCAACAGCACCCCCGACACCCATGCCTTTCACCCCCAACTGGCCTTAATCTCTTTAGGTAGTTGAAGCTGGCCTTGAATGCCTGAACCCTCCTGCCTCTACCACCCAAGTGCTGGGATGACAGGTGTGTACTACCATGCCTGACTCACCAGCTCTCTTGACAAGTTGAATTCTATGATTCCTGATCCACCATCTCCTGAGGCCCCTGGTTGGTCTTAGGCTCTCTGATCAGTGCAGGGAGTGGCTGCCGCCAGCCAGGATCCCATGCATGTCTAAGGATGTTGACTACAAAGTTATGGGTAAATATTTAATGACTTAACGCTAGAAATCTAGAACGAATTTGTTTTCCCACTGTGCATTTCACAGCTCTCCAAACCTCAGGCCTCACCTTCAGATGACTTGCTTATAGACTGGGCAGAGCTCTCCAGCTGGCCCAGATCTCCACATCCTGAAACCTTTTCCTCTGGGGTCTCATGGAGGCCACTGTCCTGCACTACCCTGTGTGGACCCCCATAAGCCAGAAGACAACTCCTAACCCTTCCATTACCAGCCCCTGCCCCCTGAAAGCTCTGGATTGGATAACCCCTCTCTTTGCCCCCTCCACTCCCCTCGTCTCACCAAAGATTCCGGTCTCTTAGGTTAAACTTGTTTGTCCTTTAATAAAATCAGTAACATCCTCCTCAGCTGTAAACGCTTTCCTTCACAGACTTCTCCACTCTACTAGTCTGGAGCCTCCTTAAGTGCTGTCCGAGGTTATGGAGGGCTAGTGACGTTGGGCGTTCCCTGTATGCAAGACCAGCCCAGGCTGTCGGTCAAACCATTCCCTCAGCTTAAATTCAAATCCTGCCTTCCCGCCCACAGATGCCTGACACTCAACGCCCGCCAAGCTGGACCCACCTCAAGTCGCAGACCAGGGCACTTGTTAGTGCAGTCCAGCAGCAGAGCACTGTGGTGGGCCACACCCAAACAGTCTAACACCTCTGTGGATCATGGCTGAGCAGGGAAACTCCATCTAAGGACACAGGATCCGGTCTGAGGCTGCAGTGTGTCCCTCGGCCCACAGATTGGCAGCTTGGGTTATGTATAAATTTAATGCTCTGGGAGGGTGAATGTGGCAGAGGGGTGGGCAGTGTGGGGCCATTTACTCACCTGGCCCTCCTGGGCTCCATTGCTACAGACAGCTAAGTGTTCTGGGCCTCTGGGGGAGAAGGGAGCTGGAGCCCTTCTCCCCAGCTCGTGCATGCCGGGGGCTCACCTGCCCTCTTTCTGGGGCCACAAAAGTACCTGAGCCTGGTGGCGCTCTGGTACCTTATCTGACTGGCGTTGGGCTGCCTACCCAGCAGGGTGCATGTTGGTGACACAAAGCTGGTGTTTCAGAAGCAAGTCACAAGGTTCCAGGCAGACTGGTGCCAGCGAGCTGCCACTGGCTACCGGAGGGGAAAGCCTGAGCTGCTGACCCAGAGCCGAGCCATGTACTTAACAGGCACGTGTGTCTCTGTCCTTTTCCAGCCTGGGCTGGGTGGATATCTGGAATGGACAGGGTCAGCACCTCATGAGCCTGGTCTGTACCACTCACTGAGATGCAGTTCATTCTGTCATCTTGCTTGGATTTGGAATCACTTAAAAATATACACCTCTGGGTGGGTCTGAGGTTGACCTCAAGGAAGAGCCACCCAGGATGTGGGTGGCACTACCCCATGAGCCGGGGTCACTCCAGACTGAACATTAGAAGGGGAAGGAGCAGGCCAGCTGAGTACCAGCACTCATCAGCTTCCTGACCATGGATGCAGAGACCTGCCTTCCCAGGCCCTGCGCTGTCCCTACCATCAAGGCCTGTACCCCTAAAACCTGAGCCAAAATAAAAACCCTTTCTTCTTTAAACTGCTTCTGCTAGGTAGTGGACCCAAGAGTACAGTCATAAACCGTAACTGGTGACAGGATTAGAGCACACAGACTGCTGGCCCAAGATGGCGCTAGGAAAGAGGTTTGAAACCCGCTCAGGGCTAAGGTGTTGTCAAACTGGTCTCTCAGGGCCCCCAATTCCCACACCAGTCCTATTTAGAGCCAACAGTCTGGTGGGAGGAAAGAAAGGATGCAGGGCAGCTCTGGACGAGCCCTGCCTGATGCACAGCAGCAACAAGGGAGTCAGGAGGAGCCCTAACCGGTTGCAGCAGCCCTCCTGCAGTGATGAGAGCAAAGCTCTCTTGAGCTCTAGGGCCAGCAGACCTGTCGCCTGAAAGCAGCCTGTGGGGATGGCTGGCTCGTGCTCTCAGGAGCAATGGGCGTGCTGGGCACCGGCAGCCACCACTAGGCTGCAAATGTGTCCAGCACAGTCGCCGTGCTTCCTGCAGCACCGACATGGGGACACACAGTGGTCTTTTCTTCTCAGATACACTGAACACTGACCAGGTTGTTTTAATTTCTGAATTTATTAAAATGATTAACCTCAATACTGCAAGTGCATGTACAAAATATTTGTAAAAAATGTTTTTAATGAAACGTTAAAGAACTTACCTCAAATGCTGAAAAAGTCCTTATTCATTCTTTCAGTACAAGGAATACATTGTATCTCAAAAGTATTACAACTCAGCAAAACAATTTAAAACAGTAATTTGAAAAATGATTGAAAATGGAATACTTTACATATATTTCTAGGATCATTTCCTAATTCTTACAATTGCCAAAAACTTTACCAATCATTGCATAAGCTCGAGCTGAAAGTTTTATTGAATGTAACCTCTTCCAGACTGGTCAAGAGTGTGGGTTCTAGCACGCCCACAGTGAAGTCTACAGCAGATCGAGAACAGTCTGAGGCCCCTGCCTTGAGAAACGGAAATAGGGTTCCCTAGATGGCATCAGCGGCACCGCTGAATGCTTGTGCACATGACTCCTGAGAGGCAGTGGCTCACCAGCCACTGCACAGACCCATGGGAAGGTCGGCCTCAAAGCATGAGGCCACAGCAAAACGAAACATCATAAATAAGTTACTAAATTAAGCTTAAGAGTGGAGAAAATGGGAAATGTGTTACTTTTCCTTAAGACTGCAATTCCTGAAATGGCTATTGTTGGTATTTAAAGAAAGGATTTAAGTCTCCGAACCTCTCCAAACAGCCCCAGCGAAGGAGTGGCAGCTGCTGCCCTGGGCAGGCTCCCCAGTCCGCTTTCAACTTCCCGAAGGTGGCAGGGGTCTGAGGACTGGGCACACTGTGTCATGTGTTCCCACTGCCCTGTGACAGGAGGTCCCAAGACCTGGGGCTGCTCTACTTCATGGCTGCAGCAAGGTGTGTTGTGTGTGTGGAGCCCACCTCCTGCCTCCTAGTTAAGTGCCCGAGGATCAGGCTGCACCGTAACAAGGACGGGTTTCCACAGGACAACTGGCGTTCTGGGAGGACATGGGGCAAAGCTGCACCAAGTCTCATTTCCATTTGGAAACTACTGGCAACAGATTCAAGGAACTTGGTATCCCCAGAGCTGGACACTGGTAGGAGTCTATAGCTAAGAGGCAAGCAAAGGTGTTCTACGATGGACTTTTCCCTCCCTGCAGGTTCCTTCCGACACGGTAAGACACGACTTTTCTACAGACACTAGGAGTCCCCTAGCTTGGTTTCATTTAGGAACACTGTATATCTGAAAGAACAAGTAAGCACACACTTCCCAGTAAAGACACAGATCCACCAGTGTCAAATGCCTGCTACAGGTCAATATTCCCAAATTCTTTGACTTGCAAAATCATCTAGAGAAACAAACAAGCTTGGTATTGAACATATAGCAATCAAAAATTTGCTCATTAAGTTACTTAAAATTAATTTCTCTTCTCAAAGTGCTTCAAAAAACAAATTAAATCTGACTCCTCTTTTTGCTTGACTGATAATATAATCAAAAAAATCTTTGATATTTTCATAATAAACTCAGATAAGCCAAGAACTCCCACTGATGCAGTGCTTAAAACTATACATAATTTCCTATTTTATTGGCATGAATATTTCTAAACTTAAAAACCTTCCTGGTAAGTTCTTTTAATTTCTTATGACAAAAATTTCTCACAACACACAAATATTTACAACATATACATTGTTTTCAGCTCTTTACATTGAATCCCAAAGACAAACATTTTTATAGGTTTCCACAGAACAAAAGCTGTGGCTCCTGTTTTTATTTCATAAACTATTATAAGTTAAAGTGAACAGATTCCTCTTAATGTTCCTTGCAGCATTTTACAAGTGCAACAGAAAACGTGAACCAAATTAGAACGGCTGGAGTTCATCGGGTAAACGCTGCTCGTTGCCACGTTGCTCACAGCAAAGGTTTGAAAAAATAAGCACCAATCATTCTTGCAAAGAACAATTTTATCTAAAAGGATTGAAAAGTTCTGTTAAATACAAGGTCTTTAATGTACACGACAAGCAATAAATACGCTGCTCTGAACTCGTCCTGCACTGCCAGCCTCCCACGTTATGACTTACGTAAGTGACTGTCAGGCAGAGAACTGCGCTGAAATTTTTCTTGAAGAAACCAATCTGACTCCCAGCTGATGGTCTGCCATGTTAACCATGGCCACGGACAGCACGCCTGGCCAGCAGTGTGTGACCACACAGCTCCAAGGGGGAGACGGCTAGTGAATAAACCGAGAAGCCAAAGGTCATTGCTGGTGATATTAGCGAGTACGCGAATCCTTAGTTAGTATGCCGCTACGTTCACGTGGAGTTATTGTTTAGTCATCGATTAAAGAGCAGCCGCCGCTCTTACAGCTACAGACGTTGTGCAGCCGCGTTACTGTCAGAAGGGCCTGCGTGGGAAGCTGCAGCCACTGGACAGTGTGCAGCTCCATCTCACAGAGGCTTTCCCTCTAACTCGGAATTGCACATAAGAAGACTGTGAAAAGGGCAGTTTCGACTTGCACAGATGAGACTTCACAAGAGTCGGCGTGGTGCACTTGACACCGGGAGGCTGAGGATGAGGGACAGAAGTGCTGCCGCTGAGGAGGGTCGGCCGAGGAGCGAGGGACGGACTGGAATTTTGTTTCTTTAGCAACCAAAGGCCCAGGGCTCATGCGTTAAGCCTTAAGGACTGATCTTCCCTTCTCCTTGAAGAGATGTCAATATCTATGGAGTCTTTGCCAACTATGAGCCTCAGTCGCTTAGCAGGAGGGAGAGGAATGAAGTCGTCCTCGAAGTCGTCATCGTAGTCGTCCTCCTCCTCCCCACCCCCGGAAGAGGACGAATCGTCGGTGCTCTCGTCCTCATACTGACTGTAGTCATCCACTTCCATCTGTGACTCCAGCAGGGAGAGAGGGTCGCTGCAGCACACCCCGTTTTCATGAAGGCCCTCTGCGAACGACCCCCTGCTCTCCTCGTCCCGCTTGAGCTGGATCTTCAGCTTTGTGGAGCTGCTGCCTGAGCCCGAGTTAAACCCGTTATTGAGCTTTGCTACATACAGGTTGCTGTCGCTCTCATGGTCTTTACTCAGCTTGATGCTGATCTTTGAAGAGCTCATGCCATCACTCTCCGGGTCGGTTGTCTTGCTACTGCTGTCATGACGTCTGCGGAGGGTCAGTTTGGGAATCCCAGAGCTGTTCTCCAGGATCAGCTGTGCGTCGTACCTGGTGATTCTCCGCTTCTTTTTGCTTTTCGCACTTCTAAAGCCGTCCTTCGTTTTGAAGCCATCAGATGTGACAATGGAGCAGCCGACAGGGGAGGGAGCGCAGTCTGCGTAGCTCACAGGCACCCCGGCTGTGCTGCTGGGCTCACCGTGGTCAGGATGGGGCCCCGGCAAATCTGGCACCCCGTCCTCCCCAGGCATGTCATGTCGCAGGCTGGAGTCCTCTGTCTTTGCCGACGGTTTCGTGGGCTTCCCTGTTCGTGGTTTCTTTCTGGACACACTGGGGTCACTCCTCAGACACTTGATTTCCTCCGTGTGCCCTGTCTCAGGAGCCAGCGTTTCCAGCACCTCCAGGGCCGGCTGCTCACCACTGTCCGGGCAAGGCTCCAGAAGGCTGTCTTTGTAGCCATCCAATGAGTTTGGTTCAAGCTTGATGTCCTCCGCCTCCTTCACACCCGTCCTCGTCCTCATGGAGCGTCGGGTTGTGTATGTGCAGGGGGACCCGTCGCCCTGTGGGTGAGCACCTCTCCCAGGGTTCTGCCTGTGTTCTCTCGCAGCATGTCTTGTCAAGCACCCGCTTGCCACTGCAGCGTGGACAGATCCCTCGGGCTCCTTCTCCTTCACAGGCAGGTTTTTGTAGAGGACAACTTTAGGCTCCTTAAGCACTACGTTCCCCACTTCGAGCTTTCTGGACGTGTTCTTCTGCTCCAGCCGCTTGCAATGGTTCCTCAGCTTGACCTTGGGAAGGAAAGGCTTCGCGGGCTTTTGCAGTTTCTTTGGTACCCTGGAATTGTTCATGTGAGCTAGCTTAGGTGAGGTAGAGTTGGAGGCAGCGGGGATTCTTGACATGGACCGCCTGGTCAGTGTTCTGTTCTTGCTGTTCTTTTTTATACCAACTGAAGATTTTCGGTTAGAAGCTGTACAATAAAATAAGAAGACGAAAACAGCTTGGTAATGCAGTACGAAGTGATTAGCAACACAGTCCTCCAATCAGACATCAAGCGCAAACCGCCAACACACGTGTGGAAGACAGCGCCCAGCTTTCAGCTCGCTGCCCCTCGGTCATGGTTCCAGAGCCTCAGCAGGCTGGCTTCAGTCTGTCTCTCACGGCACACATAAAAGACATGAAGGGGGCGTGGTGGCGCACACCTGTAGTCCCAGCACTCGGGAGGCAGAAGCAGGCAGATCTCTGTGAGTTCAAGGCCAGCCTAGTCTAAGAGTGGGTTCCAGGCCAGCTGGGGCTACAGGGAGACCCTGTCTCAAAAAGATCCCCCCGCCAAAAAAAGAAAAAAAAAGGAAAAAAGGGTAAAAAAGGTTGGCTTTTAATCTTTCACTAGGTAGTGTGTGTGCACAGGTATGTCCTGGCTAGCCTTGACCTCTCAGGGATCCCTCTCCTGTCTCTTAGTCCTGGGAGTACAGGGAAGTGCTGCAATGCCTGCTTTTCTCCTGAATTTTCAGTCACCATTTTCACTGCACTTCTAAAGCCCATCGCTTATTGACCTAAAGTGGGTTACTTGGCCAGTAACATGGAAGAGATGCATTTACTACTGGGCTCTAGGAGAAAAATTCTCTCCCCATGGTTCCAGAAAGACTAGATCCTAAGTGCCCAATGCTGTCTGTCCTTCCTGACACTCACACACCTGAACAGAGGCTAGCGTGCTCTGTCTGCTCCCTTCACCTTGTCCAGGAAGATAGCAGGTTGGCTGTTACCCAAGCACTGCAGACCCCACAGTGCATCCCTTCCATGACTGATAAGCCAACTCAGGACAGAGGATCTAACCTACTCCCTCCAAAACGACTTCAAGAAGGCATGATCCGAGGTGAGTGCTGACCACTGCTCAGAAGGCCCGAGGCCCCACTGATACTGCTGCCGTGGTGTCCACCCTCCCCCTGCAGTCTTTACTCACTACACTCAGACCCTCCCCCTGCAGTCTTTATACACGCTCAGACCCTCCCCCTGCAGTCTTTACACTCAGACCCTCCCCCTGCAGTCTTTATACACGCTCAGACCCTCCCCCTGCAGTCTTTACACTCAGACCCTCCCCCTGCAGTCTTTATACACGCTCAGACCCTCCCCCTGCAGTCTTTACACTCAGACCCTCCCCCTGCAGTCTTTATACACGCTCAGACCCTCCCCCTGCAGTCTTTACACTCAGACCCTCCCCCTGCAGTCTTTATACACGCTCAGACCCTCCCCCTGCAGTCTTTACACTCAGACCCTCCCCCTGCAGTCTTTATACACGCTCAGACCCTCCCCCTGCAGTCTTTACACTCAGACCCTCCCCCTGCAGTCTTTATACACGCTCAGACCCTCCCCCTGCAGTCTTTACACTCAGACCCTCCCCCTGCAGTCTTTATACACGCTCAGACCCTCCCCCTGCAGTCTTTACACTCAGACCCTCCCCCTGCAGTCTTTATACACGCTCAGACCCTCCCCCTGCAGTCTTTACACTCAGACCCTCCCCCTGCAGTCTTTATACACGCTCAGACCCTCCCCCTGCAGTCTTTACACTCAGACCCTCCCCCTGCAGTCTTTATACACGCTCAGACCCTCCCCCTGCAGTCTTTACACTCAGACCCTCCCCCTGCAGTCTTTATACACGCTCAGACCCTCCCCCTGCAGTCTTTACACTCAGACCCTCCCCCTGCAGTCTTTATACACGCTCAGACCCTCCCCCTGCAGTCTTTACACTCAGACCCTCCCCCTGCAGTCTTTATACACGCTCAGACCCTCCCCCTGCAGTCTTTACACTCAGACCCTCCCCCTGCAGTCTTTATACACGCTCAGACCCTCCCCCTGCAGTCTTTACACTCAGACCCTCCCCCTGCAGTCTTTATACACGCTCAGACCCTCCCCCTGCAGTCTTTACACTCAGACCCTCCCCCTGCAGTCTTTATACACGCTCAGACCCTCCCCCTGCAGTCTTTACACTCAGACCCTCCCCCTGCAGTCTTTATACACGCTCAGACCCTCCCCCTGCAGTCTTTACACTCAGACCCTCCCCCTGCAGTCTTTATACACGCTCAGACCCTCCCCCTGCAGTCTTTACACTCAGACCCTCCCCCTGCAGTCTTTATACACGCTCAGACCCTCCCCCTGCAGTCTTTACACTCAGACCCTCCCCCTGCAGTCTTTATACACGCTCAGACCCTCCCCCTGCAGTCTTTACACTCAGACCCTCCCCCTGCAGTCTTTATACACGCTCAGACCCTCCCCCTGCAGTCTTTACACTCAGACCCTCCCCCTGCAGTCTTTATACACGCTCAGACCCTCCCCCTGCAGTCTTTACACTCAGACCCTCCCCCTGCAGTCTTTATACACGCTCAGACCCTCCCCCTGCAGTCTTTACACTCAGACCCTCCCCCTGCAGTCTTTATACACGCTCAGACCCTCCCCCTGCAGTCTTTACACTCAGACCCTCCCCCTGCAGTCTTTATACACGCTCAGACCCTCCCCCTGCAGTCTTTACACTCAGACCCTCCCCCTGCAGTCTTTATACACGCTCAGACCCTCCCCCTGCAGTCTTTACACTCAGACCCTCCCCCTGCAGTCTTTATACACGCTCAGACCCTCCCCCTGCAGTCTTTACACTCAGACCCTCCCCCTGCAGTCTTTATACACGCTCAGACCCTCCCCCTGCAGTCTTTACACTCAGACCCTCCCCCTGCAGTCTTTATACACGCTCAGACCCTCCCCCTGCAGTCTTTACACTCAGACCCTCCCCCTGCAGTCTTTATACACGCTCAGACCCTCCCCCTGCAGTCTTTACACTCAGACCCTCCCCCTGCAGTCTTTATACACGCTCAGACCCTCCCCCTGCAGTCTTTACACTCAGACCCTCCCCCTGCAGTCTTTATACACGCTCAGACCCTCCCCCTGCAGTCTTTACACTCAGACCCTCCCCCTGCAGTCTTTATACACGCTCAGACCCTCCCCCTGCAGTCTTTACACTCAGACCCTCCCCCTGCAGTCTTTATACACGCTCAGACCCTCCCCCTGCAGTCTTTACACTCAGACCCTCCCCCTGCAGTCTTTATACACGCTCAGACCCTCCCCCTGCAGTCTTTACACTCAGACCCTCCCCCTGCAGTCTTTATACACGCTCAGACCCTCCCCCTGCAGTCTTTACACTCAGACCCTCCCCCTGCAGTCTTTATACACGCTCAGACCCTCCCCCTGCAGTCTTTACACTCAGACCCTCCCCCTGCAGTCTTTATACACGCTCAGACCCTCCCCCTGCAGTCTTTACACTCAGACCCTCCCCCTGCAGTCTTTATACACGCTCAGACCCTCCCCCTGCAGTCTTTACACTCAGACCCTCCCCCTGCAGTCTTTATACACGCTCAGACCCTCCCCCTGCAGTCTTTACACTCAGACCCTCCCCCTGCAGTCTTTATACACGCTCAGACCCTCCCCCTGCAGTCTTTACACTCAGACCCTCCCCCTGCAGTCTTTATACACGCTCAGACCCTCCCCCTGCAGTCTTTACACTCAGACCCTCCCCCTGCAGTCTTTATACACGCTCAGACCCTCCCCCTGCAGTCTTTACACTCAGACCCTCCCCCTGCAGTCTTTATACACGCTCAGACCCTCCCCCTGCAGTCTTTACACTCAGACCCTCCCCCTGCAGTCTTTATACACGCTCAGACCCTCCCCCTGCAGTCTTTACACTCAGACCCTCCCCCTGCAGTCTTTACACACACTCAGACCCTCCCCCTGCAGTCTTTACTCACACTCAGACTCTGGGCTTTCACTCACAGGATTGTGTTAGTCAGCTTTTCAATCTGAAACCACTAGGAGAAACTCTGTCTCCTAGAGCCCAGCAGTAAATGCATACCGTACATATTACTGACAAGTAACACACTGTGGTGATCGAACATTCGGCTACCTCATAGAAGACCACGATGAAGACAGAAGGGGCAGCCCAGCACTGGCCTCCCTGGGTGAGGGTCCTTTCAACATGCCACAGGTTGCCTGGGCTTCCCTAGTCCTTTCTGCACAGTAAAGCAAGGAGCTAGGAATTTTTACTGAGAGGAACGAGAATGTATAAAAAGCATTCTAAACTGATCAAACCATCAAGGGCAGGAGGCTCTGTACTTGAGCAACCGACTGGCCAACAGCTGCAGGCTACCCAAACCAGTGACTCCAGCGGAAGAGCACTGAGCCAGCCAGGAAGGCACCTGTCTGTAGGTGGCTGACCAGGGGTTACAGGCTTCTAGAACAATAGTAGTGAGTCTGGACAGCACTCCACTTGAGGATGAATGACTTAGGGACTGGAAGGACCTAAAACTGCTCACTAGAGATTTTTCAAAAGACAGAGATATTTATGGGACACACTGGCGAACAGAACTCCGATGACCCATATAAACATCAATGTTCTGGTTGTTTCCAGACTGAACCCAAGGGACTCTAGCATTTATCCGGCTTCCTCAAACATGGTCTCTTCCAAACTGTGTGACCAGGCTTTGTGGCTTTCAGCCTTTCTGCCCTCCTCGTGCTCTGGGCCTGCAACTGGCCCACACCAAGGCTGTCGCCATGCTCATTCCCATCCATACTGCTGCTGACATCATGAAATCCTGCACATGCTTTCTAGCCCGTCCCTTTCTTCTTTCTCGAGCAGGCCCCTGGGCTATATTAAGTGTGTGTGCCTGGTCTTCCTCAGCCCTCCTGGAGTCCACCTGCCCATGGCTGCCGCCACTCAAACACCAGTGGTCCTCAGATCCGCAGCCTAATTCTCTGCTGAGCCACAGACCTGGACTAAATACCAACTCAAGATGCTCCTAAGCTCCAGATGTACACTGTCCACCAGCTCTGGCAGTTTCTAACATTCCCCAATGGTGGCGGATGCATATCTACCCACCGCCCCGGCAGGAAGCTGGATGTCCCTGACCCTTCCTCCTGTAATCGCTTCTTGCAGTCATTTGCCTGCGCTGTGATATCTGCCCTGCAGTCCCTGGAACCCAGCTGCTGCTGCTCCACGTGCTATCCCCTCTTGCCTGACCATACAAGCCCTTTTCCTGTCTCTTCTGTACTTTCTTAACACTCTTCCATAGCCAGAATGACTGGCTGGCTCTCGCGGCATTCTGAACTTAACCCTTTCAATAACCTGATGTCCTGGGGTAGTCTCAAATCTTCAGCGAGGTCATGTCCCTTCTCATCATCTGCAGAAGCGAAGAGATTCTGATTCAAGCTCCCCTCCCCCTTGTGTGCCATGCATGCAGCCCCTGTGCCACGGACACGTTCATCCAGCCACTTTATCCCTTCAGAAACATGACTGGATTCTTGTAATGCTCCTTACTGGGCCCTTGAATTAATCCATTGGCTGAGTCCCATTTTTAAGGGAATTCTGGGTGGGCCTGGGCTCTCTCCAGCCCTTCCTTCTTTCCAAGACTTACTGCTGGTGGCAGCACCAATTAAGCAATTACTTGTTTGTGCTGTGAACCAAGCACAAAGGGACTGTACTTGCTGCCATATTATTTCAACAGGTATTTGTGTAACTGTCAGTGTAGTCATGGCTGGTTTGAAAAGAAATGATCTAATCCAAAGACCCATGAAAAGGTTAGCTCACCCAGTTAAAATACTGGTAAGCCAGGTGAGAAATTGACTGAGGGCCCTTTACCATGCAAAGGTGCTAGAGCATGCTCACGGGCCTGGGTATAGCATGACTGGAAGGCTAGAGGAGGCTGGTGGCACATCTGGGTTGATCACTTCAGTGTGTGGACTCAGGTCCTGTGTCGGTGGAGACAGGCATGCTGTGGTGCCCTTGCTGTTGGCGCTGCTGCTCTTGTGCTCAGCAAGCCCCAAATACATAAGGTGGGTGGTGAACCTGGGCAAGGTGCACAGTCCTCCCAAGGTTACCTGCTAGGCACGGTGCACGAGCCACACCACATTAGGAGGACCTGGATGTGGCTTAGCACATCCATGAAGGAACCAAGTTCTCATGGGGTAGTGGGCCCGGGACCATTCATCTGCGGAGCAGAGGGGGAATCCAAGTCTAGTCTGTGGCTCCAGATCCTGAGTTCCTGATCACTGTTATAGTGCCTCTATTATGGCGTTGGTTCCTCCTCGTGGATGAAGGCCACTGTTGTGGCCACTATGGTTGCTTCAAGGTCATCTAAGCTGTTAGGAGTGCAGCACTGAATGTGCAACCCTAAAGAAGCACGGCAAAAGGAAACCAGAGCCTGGTGAGTGCTCAGGTTGTGCTGGAAATGCACATAAAGCGAGAGCACAAAGACCACATCTGGTTTAGAATCCAGATCTTAAGAATCTAGAAAAGCCCCAGCAGGACTTTAAAGATTTGTTTCCAGTTTACCAGGCACAACCAGCTTTGCATAATGTGACTGTAGAAGGCCACCTAGAAAGGGTGCTGGGGAGGGTGGGGCAGCCAGCAGGCTCCACAGGAGCATGGTAGTCAAGAGGTGAGAAAAGGAAGGCCAGCTTGGACACGATAACTCACTCCACCAGCCACATCTGCCCGGCCCTGAGCTGGCTGTGACTTGTGTCCACACCTTCAGGTGCTGCTGGAATCCTTGTGTCATATCCTATGCCAGTAACTAACTACAAGCAACAGCCTGGTCAAGGAGGCATCAAGGCCTGAAATCCCAGCACCCTTGGAAACGGTATTGTAATCCACACTGAGGACTCATCTGGACAGTAGATTTCTTGCTGTCTCCACACCTGGATGCTACAACAGAAAGCAGAGCTGGAGCGCTCAAGTCATCTAACAGGGCTTGTGCGGAAGAAGAGTTTTCTTCTAAGTAGAAATGTTTCTTTGTAAGGTGCTGCTCAAAGTAGGGCTGGTATTAACTGCCAAATCTCAAACGAGGTGTAGGATAAAGAGTAGCCAGGCAGAGAAAGCAGTCCACATCTACCTACCCACGAATGCCTGCTGCCCGGAGGGAAGAGCTCTGTGCTCTGGCTTTTCTCCAGCTGTTTCAGAGGCCTTTCTTTAAAGGGTATGGATGAAACACAAACACTAAAAGAAATACAGCCTCAAAGGAGTCAGGTGGGGTGGTAATACCTGTGATCCCAAGACTTGGGATCATGAGGTAGAAGAATCTTGAATTTGAGGCTAGCATACTATAGCAGGCCAAATGGCTCAGTGGATACCTCTACACATGCCCCATGGAGTATTACCCTACTCAAGGTAAACAAAACAAAACAAAACACCCCCAAGTCCCCTCGGCCCCACCAGGGGGCTGGAGAGATGGCTCAGCAGTTAAGAGCACTGGTTGCTCTTCCAGAGGACCCAGGTTCAATTCCCAACACCCACATGGCAGCTAACAACTGTCTGTAAATCCAGTTTCAGGGAATCCAAAATCTTTTTCTGGCCTCCATGGGCACTACACACACGTGGTATACTTAGACACATGCAGGCAAATTACTCATACACTAATAAAAGTAAAAAATTTAACTACTGAATTTAGCAATTAAGTATTTCTTAGGTTGTTACATCTTAATACATGCAACACCTTCTGAAATTACAGGCATTTTGCTCTTTTAAACTAACTGATGTGCCAGACGCCACTACTCAGGAGGCAGAGGCAGGCAGATCTCTGTGAGTTTGCAGCCAGCCTGGTCTACGTATAGAGTTCCAGGGGAGTTAGGACTACAGGAAGACCCTGTCTCAACAAACAAGCAAACAAACAAAAGCCCTAAGTGATGTACTGAGTTAACTTACAGAAATTCAAGTTAATGCGCAGACACAATCCTTTCCCTTATGTCACAGAGCCACTCCATGTGGCAGCTTACAGCTGGCTGCACCTATAGATGGCAGTATGTACCTCAGTGCTTTGTGTATATATAATGGGCTTCACAAGGCTCCAGTTTCACCAAGGAACCAGACTGGAGAACTCGAGTGTTCGTTACACTGCATTTATCAGTAGCAAACAGAGGACAGGGAGTGACATTAGGTATTATTCAGGACACTGGCTAAACTACGAGTGCACTAAGAGCTGTGTTGCTCCTTTCAGGCTTGAGGCCATACCTGGCCTCCGACTCCCAGCAGCGTAGACTCAAGACATCCACGCGGCGGTATTCACCATCACGGGCACCCTGTGAGTGGGCTGAAAGCATCTAAGGCAGAGAGAAGATGCTAGAATATAGCACCTGAGGGGTTCACATGCTCAGAGGCACTGGATGTCAGTGTGCCAGCACAGGTAGCCTCTGTGGGCCAAGTCAAACCTTTCTCAACCTGCCCTGCAGTGCAGCCCAGATGAAGGGCGGCAGTGACAGGTCCCAGTGCTTCAAGCTGCACAAAATGGTGCTACTTTTGGTCTGGGTAAGGCTCTTTGTTCTTTACTCTCCCCTCCCCTGAATTTCCATGAGATCCTCCCTCACACAAAACACAACTGGTACCTCAAAGCTTGCCTCTTCCTCCTCTTCACCTGGCTCTACCTTGGAGTGGTTCATCATATACGCAATGCAGCCACACCCCAATGTTCCTCTAGCACACTTCTAAGTATAGTGAACTGGTAAACTGTTAGTTCACGTCCACCCTGTTCCTAGACTGGCCAGGCATGGACACGGGGAAGCCTGTTCAGTTCTATCCAGCCCATCTTCTTGCAGGGTCTAATGACACCATTACAGCATCACTAACAACCCCAAAATGTTTTCCACAAACACGATCCTAGAAGCCATGATGAAGACTTCGATATCCAGTCAGCAAGTACTCAAAAATACCATACTGAGGTCATCCCCAGGTTTGGAGTGGACACAGCTACTTCCAGGACCTTGCAGTGTCATGGAAGCTCCTGAATCCCAGTTTTTATCAATGTTTAGAAGTTCAAAACTACTGGGGCATGCTTTAGAAAGCAAACTGTGAAAATAACATAAAACATACGTAAGTCTGCCTTACTTACTTGCATTGTTTTTTTCCTGAGTGGTATCTGCATCAGTGTTAGAGCTGACAGACTGACTGTCCGAGTTTTTGCTGCTGTCCCCTAACTTTTTAAGCCTATTCAAGCGTTTGTCTGTCTCTCTGAGTCCATATTTGCTATTGATAACAGGAGCAGGCGCAGGCAGTCCTGCTCTGGATTTAAAAGCACCAGTTCCCCGTCTGAAAGAGAAAACAGCACAGGTCAAACAGACACAGTCCATTACTTACAAGTTTGGCTGCTGAGGGTGGTTGGCCACATTAGGTCAAGGGATGTGATGAACTGATGAGACCTTGGTCACCACTGAAAACTACCAGCTCCCAGAGAAATCTAGCATGCATCTAGTAGAGCCAACTTCCAAAGCTCTAAACTTATGACTATCTTAATCAATCATTAGCTACCTGTGGACATCATCTGTACATCAACTATGTAGATAATTCTTAAAATATATATATATTTTTTGAGACAGGGTCTCCTTGTAGCCCCAGCTGTCCTGGAACTCACTACATAGACCAGGCTGGCCTCAAACTCACAAAGATCGGCCTGCCTCTGCCTCCCAAGTGCTGGGATTAAAGGCATGTGCCACCAAGCCCGGCAATATTTATTATTTTTATTTTATGTGTATACATGTATTGCCTGCATGTAGGTAAGTGCACCCATGTCGTGCAATGCCCGAGGAGGACAGAAGTGACTGTCGGATCCCCTAGAACTGGAGTTACAAACAGTTGTTAACTACCACATGAGTGCTGGAATTCTGCAAGAACAGTCAGTATTCTTAACCACTGTGCTCGCTCCCCAGCCCCTATGTAGATAATTCAATTTCATTATCTCTTTTCAAACAAGCAAAACTATGACACTGTGAGGCATTTTACCCAGCACCCAGGCTTCTTACGTTGCACCACTGATAGGTCTGCACTGCACATATGCTTTGTTGGTGGTGGGTTTTGTCTTTCTGAGACAGGGTCTCCCTAGAGCCCCAGCTGGCCTGGAACTTGCTATATAGACCAGGGTGAACTTGATTTCACAGTGGTCTGCTTGCCTCTGCCTCCTGAGTGCTGGAATATGCTTTGAAAACTGCATGTTTGAACAGAATTTCTCCCTGGTGATTATGAACCTTTCTTCTGTTTGCTTGCTATCACAAACAGTAATGTCAACACTGCTTCAGAAGCCACTACTAACTAACCCGTCCTGTTCTAGCACAGGCTCCCCGCCATAGGATTAACAGGGAAAGGCTATGTTTATTCTGAGTAAACACTGCCTGGTTACTGAAGGCTGAGAGTAACTCCAAGCCTTTCCCAGACATCTATTTCTCCACATCACCACAGCATGACATTGTTTCTTCAATTTTCCCAAACTGGTGAATGCAAACGGTACTAGTTGTCTTGCTTTCCCTGCTTCTGGTTGCCCTTTTGTCTTTTCTTTTTAAGGTTTATCTCATGTGTATGTGTGTGTGCCTATATGAGAGTATGACACATATGTGCAGGTACCATTGGAAGCCAGAAGAGGCATCGGATCCTCTGGAACTGGAATTACAGGTGGTTGTGAGCCACTCAACTTGAATGCTGGGAACTGAATTTGGGTCTTTGTAAGAGCACCAAGTTTTCTTAACGGCTGAGCTGTCTCTCCAGCCCCTGGTCTTCTTTGCACACGTGAAGCATCTCTTCCTCCTGCTTCCGTTTCCCAAGTGCTAGGTCAGAAGTGTGTGCTGCCCATTCTGTTCTCTCGCCTTTCCTGTCTCCAGCTACCTTAGGTGTTCAACAGGGTTTAGCACTAGGGTCTTAAGTCTTTGCAAGTACATCACTTTATTTTCAAACTTCAAGAAATCATTTGTCTTTGGCCTTGTTTAGGGCATCCAAGCATTTTTGGATTTATCACTTTAGGTCTTCAAGAAGATCTTCGATACTTAAAGTTAGGCAGATACTTTGTAAAAAGATTCATTTTTAATTATGTGTGTGGATATGTGCATATAAGTGCAGTGCCTGAGAACAGAAGAGGGCTTTGGATCCCCTGGAACTGGAGTAACAGGCAGTTTTGGGACACTTGACATGGATACTGGGAACTGAACTCGGGTCCTCCGGAAGAGCAGTGCACACTCTTACCACTGAGCCATCTCTCCAGCCCCTAGCAGGTATTTTTTCCCAATTGTTTCATATTGTACTATTTAAACTTAAGATTTTTAATCCAACAGGAATTTATTTTGTGTATGACATAAGACAGAAGTTCAGCTTGTTTTCTCCCCAGAGACACAGGCAATCAAAGCAACATCATTCACCTCCCCACGTGTACTAAGAATGCATATACATATGCCTCTATTTTAGAACTCCATGCTCTCTTTTTTAAATATTTTACTTATTTTTATTTTATGTGTATGAGTGTATTGCCTGCGTGTATGTGAGTGCACCTGTGTTGTGCAATGCCCCACAGGTCACAAGAGGGCTTTGGAATCCCCTGGAACTGGAGTTAAGAATGATTTGTAGCCGCCATGGTGGGTTCTGGGAACCGAACCTGGGTCCTCTGCAAAAGCAGTCAGTGCTCTTAACCACTGAGCCATCTCTCCAGCCCCCATGCTCTCTTTAAAAATATTTTATTATTTTATGTGTAGGAGTGTACTGCTTGCATGTGTTTAAGTGCATACATGACCTGCAATGCTGCAGAGCTCAGAAGAGGGCGTCAGATCCTCTGGAACTAACTGGGAGTTAAGGACGGTTCGTAGCTGCCATGTGGGTGCTGGGAACTGAACCCAGGCCCTCTGCAAGAGCAGTCAATGCTCTTAACCACTGAGTCTTCTCTCTAGCATCCCCTACCCCCAATCTTTATTTATTTAAAAAAAAACAAAAACAAAAACCAGTGTCTTGTGTTTCCCAGTCTGGGCTCAGACTTGTAGCCAAGGATAACCAGATAACCAGTCATTCCTACTTTGCCTTCTGAGTGCTGCAATTACAGGCTTATGCAGTCAGTGCTGGGGATCTGACCCAGGGCTTCTTGTACTTTACTCGGCGAGCACTCTGTCAATTCAGGCATATCCCCAGCCCTCTGTGTTGTTACTGTTTGGTGCTGGGGACTAGTTTTATGAGAAAGGGCTTGCTAAGTAATGTAGGCTAGCCTTGAAGTTTCTGCAATCCTTCTGCCTTAGTGTCTCAAGTGCTGGAATTATAGGGACAAGCTACCAAACCTGGCTTCCCCTAACTTTATTTTAAAGATATATGCCCCTTGGTTATCATCAGACATACTATTTTATAAGGTTTAAAAGACTCTCACCAATTTCAAAAATAAAATAAATTCCAAAACAGTTTCTATTTGAAAGAGTGGCATTTGTGTCTTTACACCTAAGACCTCTGTTCCTCTGAACTGAGCCTATCATCAGATGCTATTCTCCAACATTCTTCTAGTCAAGTGTTAGCACAACTCACATACGAACTTACTATACTCGCTGTCGTGGCAGGGGGTGATCACCCCTTCAGAGACCAGAGCACGCTCGTACTTGCTTTCTAAGCACATCTGTACTCGGACCCACTAGTAACAGCGGAAATATTAAGATTGTAAAAGATCAGGCCCCAGTGTCCCTGAAGAGCTGCGCACATTTGATCTGGTTTGCACGTTGCATGGGTGCTGTGCTACATAGCATGGAAACTTATCTGGACGCCGACATGACAAAAGACAAACATGAGCTGATATGCACAGCCACCAGGCGATCACAGGACACTAACATGAAAACCCCACTTAATACTTTACCTCTCACATGTGTAACACTCGCAGAACTCGTTATTTTCTCCAAAAAACCCATCTCCATAGTAACAAGAAATTTCTTCCCCAGGTTCAATATCTCTGAGTGCCTTCACACATGCCGTGTCCCGACCCGTTGACACAAACTGAAAGAAGGGAAACTCATTAGCCTCACACCTGAGGCAGAGACAAACGCTTAGCATACGTTCTTTTTAATGCTTACCTTACAGTTAGGTCTGCAATCTGAAAAATGTCCAAAAGAGAAAGTCAATTAACTGCTGATAAGATCTGAAACACGAACAGTTACAGAAATCTGAAAAGGCTTTCCAGACAAGTCCACAATTTCTGACAGTTTAGGTCTCAAGTTAAATTGGGAATATTTAATGAATTTGAAAAAAAAAATTACTGTTTCAAACTCTCCTGAGTTTGATAAGGCCATACTAACTGTTGGCAGGCCTGCCCAACACCAGTGCAGACGCCTCAGAAATGCAGCTTACCATGGTTTATAAATGCAGCAGGACCGAGCCAGAGTTGAGCACAGTTTTTCCTTGTGGAATACATGACACTGAAGTCGTTTTCTCCGTGTCTAAGAAGCATGTTCTCCTCAATTTCTGAAAGTTCGGCAATACAACCCACCAGTAATTCTATTTTGTCATTTCGTTTCCTATTTAAAATATGTGATAAAAATTACTAGTAATTATAATAAGGCTTCTTTTAATAAAATAAGCCTTCCTAGTAAACACCAGAATTGAGCAGCCCTGGCTCTGCATACTCTGCTGCCTGACTTGGATCCACCTGGGCATCCTCACTTCCTTCCTGGAGCCCCACAGGCTCCATGGCTATCTGTTATCTACCTTATCCCTACAAGAATGGGAGCTCCTCCAGGACAAGAAATATGCCACCCACGACTCTCAGCACCCTGCAGCACCTGGTGCAGTCACACCAGCAGCATGTGACAAACTATGTGATGTACTGAATTAAATTTAAAGATGGGGTCCAGCACTAGAGTCGTGAGGAACCAGACCTGCGGCATCACCAGAGAGAGCACACCACTCACTGGTGTTTCGCAAGCCCAAACCCCAAGCTTAAGTTTTCTAGCAGTCACGTTAACAAAGAAAAGAAGCAAGATTCCTTTTGATAATGTATTTTAAACCTACATATGCCAGACACTATCTGAGTAGGTCGTCAATATGAAAGCTATCAGTGAGAAATAAAGCAATCTGAAATCTGGTGTGTATGTCACATAGCACCTCTTAATCGAGAAAGACCACATTTCAAGGACTCATGAGGCGGGCGGCTCCTGTACTGTGATGTGCAGCTCTAGAGCCCAGATCTCAAGCCTGCACACCACCTGCAACAAAGGGAGCCACGAGGTCCTAACAGCAGCTCCAGCCCACGCGAGGCAGAGTCCACTCATGTGTACCCCGCCTTGGGTTTGCTCTTTTGCCCATCTTATTCTCAGGTACCCAATCCCTCACATTTTTGCTGTAGAACTAATGAAGACCCAAGAGGGCCCTCTGTTTCTCCTGGGACACAGAAGGTGATGGACAGGCACTCACAGGAAACAGAGCCCCATTCTCTATCATCTATGGCTCTTAAGCCTCCTAGTGAGCTCTGACTTGACTACTTTTACTTCAATTGGCATCTGTGTATGTTTTTAAGCAGGTTAGGGTGGGTTCCACCTGTGAGCCCTCCTCAGCTCTTTAAGGCTTTACCCCCCCAACCTTTTGTCCAGACAACAGAAAGCCTGACTCTGGAAGCCAGGTTACCAACCACCGGTTCCCCCAGCCTTTCAGCAGCCTCATCATGGAGCAGGCATTTAGACTCAATACAGGGAAAAGGAGACTTGTGGACACCTGGACTTCTGATTTCACCATCCCACCTTGAGTGAACAGGCCCCTCGCTTCTTCAGGAAGCTTAACCCTTACCATGAATTTCTAAGCACTTCAAGGGTAATTTAAGAGCTCTTTAAATAAAATTACTTTATGAGGTTTGACTAGTGTAATAATTACCACTCTTTTGTTGCAACTATTTTGGCTCCATTTTGTTCTGAAGAGTATCTGTTACAAGGCAGTATTTCAAATCCACTGTCAGTAGCAAACATTCGCAAGTAAATAAATACCTGAAGCGGGGGAAAAACAAGATCATAATTATTTATCTTGCTAGATGTTCCAAAATGATAAAAGCATGAACCACAACGTCAAACATGAGGGCTAGCTGCTGCCGTTAACACTGTTTTCATGGAAACCACTTAGGGCTGGGACACACGTGGCGGAGCACTTGCCTAGCATGTGCAAGGCCCTGGGCTCAACCAGACATTCAATAAACACCAGCAGCAACAACTAGACTCTGACTTTCAGTGTCACTAATATTCAGGCTTCAATTTACTTTCATTCTTTGTTTTTTGTGATGGTCTCACAGTGTAGCCTAGCTGGCCTGGAATTCATTATGTAGCCCAGGCTGGCTGCAAATGTATGGCAATCCTCTTGCCTTAGCTACCACATCTGGCTCCGACCTCACAATCTTATCTGGACAGGTTAATAGCATTAATCTACTCAACTTACATGTTCCTTGAATAACTTCTCCTGCGCTTTGTTCTTGTTGAGAAAATAGTGCCGTGCCCATTCACCTGAAGTCAGACACCTGAAAGCTCTCTCCAAGTGCTCATCTTTCTTAAAGCGCTCGATTACTTCCTTCAGCTCTTCTTGTCGCCCCTTAACAGGCCGAGATCTGAGAGGAAACAAACAGCAGTTCATTGATCTATCGTAATCCTTGAGCTACTGGTTTAACTTAAGACGTCTTAGGCTAGCTAATATCCTAAAGCCAGCCAAGGCTATGACGGCAAAGATATAAAGAGGAAAACAATAATCTTGCACGTAGTCTTCAATTAGTACAATGATCACCTGAAAATACAATTTCCTCTATTTTCTTTTCCTGTGCACATATGTGGTATACACGCGTGTGTACATGTGGAGACCAGAGGTTGACATTAGGTATTTTCCTCCATTGCTGTCCACCCTATTTATGGAGGTAGAGTCAGAACCCGGAGCTTGCTGGTTCAGCTAGTGAAGCTAGCCATCTTGCCCAGGGGGTTCTCATCCCCACCTTTTAAGTGCTGAGATTACAAACAGGCTTGCCCTTCTGTGGGTTCTGGGAATCTGACCAACAGTTCTCAGTGTTTTAATTTTTTTTTTTTTTTTTTTTTTTTTTGGTCTTTTGGAGACAGGGTCTCCCTGTAGCTCCAACTGGCCTGGAACTTGCTATGTAGACCAAGCTGTCCTTGAACTTACAGAAATCTGCCTGCTTCTGCCTTCCAAGTGCTGGGATTAAAGATGTGTACCACCATGCCCAGCTTGTGTTAAAATTTCTATTTAACTGTTATCTCATTAACTGTGAGATAACTCAAAAACTGTCTTGCCTCAGATTTATGCTAGTCATTTACTTTGGAAGGCACAAAAAGAAAGATCTAGAAAAACACAAGCCTAAGTGGAGTAGAACACCAGGTATTTTAGGCAGAGGCAAGCTGGAAGACAGCAAGGAAACGAGTCCAGGGGTGCGATGACGCCAACAAAACCACACTGCAACAAGACCAGCCTGTGAACACACTGAGGAAAGCCCCAAGGTATTCCAGAAGGGTCTTAAACATCTTGATATTCCAGCTGATGTTGGACAACTCCATTCAGAGAACAGAAAGAATGCAAACAAGGTCATTGAGGGACAGTGTGGCCCTTAACAGCTAACAACCAAATGTTAAAAGAAAGACTCCAAAAAGCCTAACTCTGGCAAGACTGCTGCACTGTGAAAATGACTGAGGCAGCACTTTAAAAGGGGCTTGTTGTAAAACAGCTCTACTGACTTCAGAATGGCACACTGCAAGACACATTCCAAGTAGTCTACGAGCCCGTCATCCTGAAGCTGTGTTTTCAATAAAGTGCATGCTCTGATTAAAGAGACCTGGATTTTGATTTCAAAATTTTTTCATGCATCTTCATGCGGTAAATTCCCTCAAATAGAGGCTTTATGTTAAAAAATAAAACACTCGCTGGGTGTGATGGCACACGCCTTTAATCCTAGCACTTGGGAGGCAGAGGCAGACGGATCTGAGTTCGAGGCCAGCCTGGTCTACATAGTGAGCTCCAGGACAGCTGGGGCTACAGGGAGACCCTGTCTCAAAAAGACCAAAAGAAAATAAATAAATAAATAAATAAATAAATAAATAAATAAAATAAAACACTCAATAGAAAAGGGAATTATGGACTGCTGTTAGAGAAACAAGTATTTGAAAGAATGCATTTTAAGATAAGGATTTGGCAGAACTTTCTTCAGGCTAAGTTACTACAAATAGATTCACTAACTTTGCTTGGTTTTTGTTGTTTTTTTTTCGTCTTTTGAGACAAGAATCTCCCTGTAGCCCCAACTGGCCTGACTTGAACTCGCTATGTAGACCAGGCTGGCCTTGAACTCAGAGATCCGCCTATCTTTGCCTCCCAAGTGCTGGGACTAAAGGCATGCACCATCATGCCCGTTGTTCTTTTTTTTTGAGACAGTCTGATGTAGCCCAGGCTGGACTTGAACTCATTATGTAGATGAGGATGGCCTTGACTGCCCAATCTTCTTGACTTCATCTCCCAAGTGCTAGTATCACAGGTGTGCACTACCATGTCTAGATTTCATTAATATTTTGGTAGGTTTTTTAAAATTCTTTATTTTATACATATGAATGTTTTGTCTGCATGTATTTAAGTGCACTATGTGCATGCAATACCCATGGAGACCAGAAGAGGGCATCAAATCCCCCTGGAATAGGAGTTACAGACAGTTGTTAGCCAACATGTGGCTGCTGGGAACTAAACCCAGGTCCTCTGCAAGAGCAGCCAATGCTCTTAACCACTGAGCCACCTCTCCAGCTCCTTGAATGGAAATTTTCTTTCTTTTTTGGTCTTTCTGAGATAGGGTCTCCCTGCAGCCACAAGCTGGCCTAGAACTCTCTATGTAGACCAGGCTGGCCTCGATTTCACAGAGATCTGCCTGCCTCTTCCTCTCAAGTGCTGGAATTATAGGAATGTGCCACCATGCCCAGCTTCAACAGCATTTTTAATTAAAAAAAAATGCTATTTTGTTATTTTTAAAGATTTTATATATGTATTTGAGACAAGGTATCACTATGTAGTTCCAGCTGGTCTGGAACTTACTATATAGACCAGGATGGCCTTGAACACACGGCGATCTGCTTGCTTCTCCAAAAGCTGGAAAGTGTGCCCTTCCATAGATTTTTATTCTTATTTATATGTATGTGTGTGGGGTGCCCACAGATGCTAGAAGAGGGTGTCAGAACCCCCTATAACCTGGAGGTGCTGTCAGATGCCTGATAAGGGGGCTGGGAACTAAACTCAAGTCCTCTGAAAGGGTAATAAGCCACCATCCCCCTCTTTTTGGCCTTTTTGAGACAAGGTTTCCCTGTAGCCCTAGTTGGCCTCAAACTCAAGGAGATCCACTTGCCTCTGCCTCCCAAGTGTTGGGATCAAAGGCATGCACCATCATGCCCGGCCCTCCATCCCCTTTTTAAAAAAAATTTTGCCAGGTGTGGTGGCCTATGCCTTTAGTCCCAGCACTCAGGAGGCAGAGGCTGACAGATCTCTGTGAGTTCAAGGCCAGTCTGATCTCCATAGAGAGTTCCAGGCCAGCTGGGGCTGCAGTGAGACCCTGTCTCAAAAAGTCCAAAAAAAAAAAAAAATTTACATTTATTTATTGTTATGTGTATGTATATGGAAGCACATGTGCCTCAGTGTAGCTGTGAAGGTCAGGGGACAAATTTATTTATTTATTTATTGATGTTTATATGTATGTATTTTGTCTGCATACATCTAATGTACCCAGGTGTGCAATGCCCAGAGGCCAAAAGAGGGCATTGGAACATCTGGAACTGGAGTTGCAGAAGGCTGTTAGTTATCGTGTGGATGCTGGGAACCAAACCCAGGTCCTCTCCAAGAGCAGCCAGGGCTTTGAAGCGCTAAACCATCTCTCTAGCCCCCAGAGGACAATTTTGAGTTAGTTCTCTCCTTCTACCTGGTGGGTTCTTGGGATCAAACTCAGTTTACTAGACTTGTACAGCAAGTGCTTTTATCTCCTGAGGGATCTTGCCAGTACTCAAATGGAAAAACTTGAGAATGAAAGGATATGTCTCTCAAACAGGCCAGGCACAGCATGCAAATGCACATTAATATGGTAAAAACTGTATTTTTACAGTACTTAAAAAGTATGGGAATCTTTCTAAGAGAGATGGCTCAGCAGTTAACAGCACTGTCTGCTTTGGCAGAGGACCTGGGTTCAGTTCCCAGAACCCACATGGAGGCTAACAACCACGTGTAACTCCAGTTCCAGGGGATCTGACGCCCTCCTCTGGCCTCCTTGGTCACTGTATGATACAGGTGCACTTACATATTATGTCGGAAAGGCACTCATAAAAAAAATTTTTTTTAAAGTATGGAAATCCTAACAAGATCTGCCAGGAGGGCTGGGAGTGCAGTTCAGTGGTAGACCAAGCCTGCCAGCATGTACAAGGCTCTGGGTCAGATCGTCAGCACTACAAAACCAAATATAAAACAAGCGAGAACAAATTTGTTGTGAAGGGTTTTTAAATTGACAGTGACACAGACAAGGAAGAAAGTGGTAAATTTCACTTTCAAAGGAGACACGGGCTGGAAAGATGCTCAGCGACTGAAAGCACTGGCTGCTCTTGCAGAGGACCCAGGTTTAATTCCCAACACCCACAGGGTGGCTAACAACTGTCTATAACTCCAGTTCCAGGGGATTTGCAGGTGTTACACCACACGGATGAACTTACATACAGGCACACAATACACTGATACACATACAATAAAAATAATATTTATTTAATTTTTTTGGTCTTTAATCCTGAGTGCTAGGATTAAAGGCATGTGCCACCATCCAGCTGTTAATATTTTTTTTTAAAAGGAGAAACATTAATCCCAGCACTAGGGAGGTAGAGGCAGGTGGATCTCTGTGAGTTCAAGGCCAGCCTGGTCTACACAGCAAGTTCCAGGCCAGCTGGGTTACAGGGAAGGCCCTGTCTCAAAAAGACCAAAAATAAATAAATAAATAAAATAAAACAATAAAAAACAAAAAACAAATCCCAGCGTTCTAGGAAGGAAAGGACCAACGGGAAGGCAGAACGAGAGGAAACTGAAGCAGACTTGCAGCTGGATTCAAACAGCTGGGCAGACTCTGGTAGCCAGCAGCAGGATAGGTCAGTACTAGAACCAGGCAGTATGAAGGGTGCAGTCTAGACAGGTCGACTCTGAAAACTGCCCAGGACTTCCAGGACTCCAGATCATGAGCACACACTTCAGTTATCGCACACAGGTCACACAACTGCGACACAGAACCAAGAATTCAAACCCACCCAGTAAGGAAAAAGATGGTGTCCTCATTTTCCATTCAGTTCATCTGGACATGTGCCCTCACAGACTGGAGAAAAGTCTCTTAAACCACCCAGAGTAGCTTTAGGTTCTCTGAATAGTGGTGGAGATTCACCACCACCAAGCTAATCTAAGGGCTGCAGAGTTCCCCATTTGGAGGGACCACAGTTGATTTTATCAAGATCAGATCTCTCAAAAAGCAACCTAGATCATTCTTTCTGCAAAGCTATATATTACAGAGCTATCTGCATGCGAACTACAGATAAGCCTGGGGCTGTGGCTCAGTGGGAGATTATCTACCTACTAACATGCATAAAAACTACACACCAGCAACATCACAGATGTGCTGAAACAAAAAAGCTGTTCGAAAAGGTGTGCTGGACAGTATCCAGTTGTCAACTTGACATGCTTAGGAAGAGGGAATGTCAGTTGGGGAACTACTGGATTAGGCCTGTGGGCATGTCTATAACGCATTTTCTTTATTGTTGAGTGTTGTGGGAGGGTCCAGCCCACTATGGGTGGTGTCAACCCCAGGCAAGTAGCCTTGGGTTGTACAAAAGGATTCTGTGCTTCAGTTCCTGCCTCTAGGTTCCTAATCTGGCTTCCCCTCAATGAAGGACTGTACTGTAGGCTAATATAAACCCTTTTCTCCCCAAGTTGTTTATTGTTACATGTCTTTTTTTTCTTCAGATTTTTGTTTTATTTTTATTTTATGTATATGAGTATTATGCCTGCATGTAGGTAAGTGTACCCATGTCCTGCAGTGCCCCAGGAGGACAGAAGAGGCTGTCAGATCCCTTGGAACTGGAGTTACAGACAGTTGTTAGCTGCCATGTGGATGCTGGGATTCGAACCTGGATCTTCTGCAAGAGCAATCAGCTCTCAACCACTGAGCCATCTCTCCAGCCCCTTTTCATATATTTTTAAAATACTTTATTTATTTATTTTGGTCTTTTGAGACAGGGTCTCCCTGTAGCCCCAGCTGTCCTGGAACTCACTATGTAGACCAGGCAGGCCTTGAACTCAGAGATCCGCCTGCCTCTGCCTCCCGAGTGCTGGGATTAAAGGTGTGTGCTACCATGCCCAGCTGTTAAATACTTTATTTTTTATGTCTGAGTATATTGCTTCCACATATGTAAGTGCACCCATGTCGTGCAATGCCTGTGGAGGTCAGAAGAGGGTGTTGGATGCCCTGGAACTGGAGTTATGGATAGTTGTTAGCTACCGTGTGGATGCTGGGAACCCAACCCAGGTCGTCTACAAGAGCAGCCAGTGCTCTTAACTGCTGAGCCATCTCTCCAGCCTCTTGGTCACAATATTTTATCACTGCAATAGAAACCAAACTAGTAAAGAAGTGCTCACATTTCAAGCAACACAAATTATGAAGTAGTTGGAGAGATAACCTGTGCTTTGCTTGGCAATCAGGAAAGTGACAGACCATGCTGACTGGGTCTAACACAGTATCCTTAATGCAAAGTGGCAAGACTGTGACAGGAAGAGATAACCCATCCTGGTGTCTAATGTGGAAGTGACCAAAGGTGACACTATCATAATGTAGCAAGGCACTGGGGATACAGGTCAGTGGCAGAATGCATGTCCAAAGCGCAATGTCCTACACTCAATCCTCAGCATTACAACAAAGGCTCTACATATGAGTCAAAGTTAAACTCACCTCAAAGTACAGATAGGGATGCTACAAACCTGAAATGAATGTGTGCGTGTGTGTGTAGATCAGAGGGTAACTTGGAGTCAATTCTCTCCTTCCATCATGAGGGTCTTGGTGATCAAACTCAGGTTATCCGGCTTGGCAAGGGCCTTTACCTCCTGAGCCATTTCAGCATTTAATAGGTTTTGTGTACATCCTTTGCTTTCTGAAACATGATCATTTCCATCTTAAAATGTCTTTCAGGCACCCTAGTTTTCTTTGTTCATGATGACAAATTACTCAAATGCTAAAACCAGCACAAAGTAACTACAATGTTAGGCCTTCCCCCTTTCCTGAGCTGACCTTTGCTTCTCATTTTCTGACTTGTGCCACCTCACAAACAAAGCCCGTGAAATTATTCTTTGCTATCCAATAGCAAGAATCTTCGTCTTGGAGGGGCTGGAGAGATGGCTCAGCGGTTAAGAGCACTGGTTGCTCTTGCAGAGGACCCCGGATTGATTCCCAGCACCCACATGGCAGCTCAAAACCATCTGTAACAGTAGTTCCAGGGGATCTGACGCCCTCTTCTGACCTCCATGGGCACTGCGCTTACACATATGCTTGCAATAGCAAAAATAGCAGCTGGCTGTGGTGGCACATGCCTTTAGTTCCAGCACTCAGGAGGCAGAGGCCGGCGGATCTCTGTGAGATCTAGGCTAGTCTGGTCTACAGATCGAGTGCCAGGCCAACTGGGGCTACAGGGAGACCCTGTCTCAAAAAGACACCCCCCCTCACCCCCGCCCAAAAAATAGAAAAAAAATGCAAAAGATAAAGTAAGAATATTTTTTACAAAAAGCATCTCTGTCCTGGGGCTGGAGAGATGGAGAGTGGTTAGAGCACTGGCTGCTCTTGCAGAGGACCTGGGTTTGGTTCCCAGCGCCCACATGCAGCTCACCTGTTTGTAACTCTAGTTCCAGGGAATCTGATCCCCTCTTCTAGTTTCTTTGGGTTCTTTCATGCATGTGGTGCACTTACACATGTGCAGGCAAAAGACTCTCACACACATATATTTCTGCCTCACGTATATGCAAACTGCTGACTGTATAGTCAGCTGCTACAGGCATGAAATGAGTCAGGAGAAGGAGCAGAGCACAGTGGAGTTTTTTGAGAAAGGGTCTCATTACGTAGCCCTGGCTGACCTGGAACTTGCTATGTGGACCAAGCTGGCCTGGAACTCACAAGCGCTGGGATTAAAGGTATGTGCCACCAGGCCTGGTCAGACAGTATATTTAATAACCCTGAGGATGTTTATAAATGACACTGGGCAGCAGCACAAGTCAATTCCTGTTGGAGCAAACACTTCTTCAAATAACTTCAGTACCATGTAACTGTTAACAGCTATGAGGGCCAGAGCACACGCCACTGAAGACCTCAGAAACAATAAGATAATGTCCTATTATGGAACAGTAACACACCAGCTTCTCCTCTGTCACAGCAGCTCTCAATCTGCCACAAACTGCCCAAATGGCTTCTTACACTGAGATACTTAAGGTTAGAAAGAGAACTGAGGTTGTCTAGACTCTCACAAACGAAAATAAGGCACAAGGCAGCTAAACTGCTGTCCAAGTCTTAGTGGAGTTACTGGAGAACCGAGCACTCCCCTTGCTTGGCAAGCTCAGCTCTGCTACCTGGCTCAGGAGGGCCCCTGGTGTCACTTCACAGGTAGAAAAGGACTTGCCTGGTGTTTGCTGCTTGTGAAATTGCACTTGAGTCATCAAGAAACAGCTCTGGCTTTTAAATTAATTTTATTTATCTTGTGGGTAGGGGAGCAACACAGTCTTGAAGGTCAGAGAACAACTTGTGGGGAGCCCCCACCCTCGACCCCTCATGGGCCCCAGGGATCGAACTCAGGCTATCAGGCAGGCTTGGCAGCAAGTCGCCTCGCCCACTGAGACCCCAGTCCAGCTCTCGTTTCCATGCTGATAATTCACCAGTGGATGGATGGACACAAACATGGATTTTCAAGTTCAGGGTTGGGGCAAAGGGAGGAGAGGCCTGGCCAGAGGCAACAGAAAGGTATCTGGCACTTTCAAATTAGCACACTCTCTAAGCCTGCTACTTCAAGTAGAACAAACACACTTATACCGCTAATCAATGGCTGTTATAAGAAATAAAAACCACGTAATTTACAATCGGCTATTATTAAAAAGATCAGCAAACAAATGTACCAATCTACACTCCCCCGCACCCCACTCTCTCCAGAGACTGACTTTGCTATTTGAGTTTTCTGTCTCAATTAAGAGCAGATTTGGGTCTGTATTAGCTGAGCTACTGTGCCTGTATTAGGACATAAAAGCAAGGGATGACTGCAGGAGGTTGGGAAGAAGCAAGGAGACAAAGAAAAAAGCTCCACATTTAAGATACAAAGCAAGCAGACCATGGGGCAACAGAGTGGACATATTCTCCTTCTGAAGAGAGCGTCACTGCAGACTGAACCCGGAGGAGCGGGTAGAGGGGCAGTGACCGCAGCTGCAGAAGGCTCCTTGACCTGAAAATAAACAAGAGCCAAACACATACCTGGCTGAATCCTCAGTTAATCCCCGGGAGTGACTCCTGCTCTTTTCATGAATTATTTGTTTCTCTTAAAATTACCCTGTTATGGAGTACAAGTGTTTTTATTTTCTTTTTTAATTACTAAGACCCGCCTACTTAAAAAGGTTCGTAAATGTTCTAAACTCACATTTACATTGACATCGCAAATGACTTATTAAGGAACATTATTCAAGACAGAACAAGTTCACTGGTATCTCATGTTTACAATGCACTCTACCTACCTCACAGGGTTGTTGTGAGAAAAATTGTCAGCTTTTGAAAAATGCCTTGAGCTCCTCGATGGAAAGGCGCTGTACAAATCAAAAACAAACAATAAACACAATTTGTACCTGTCATTTCTAAATAGACATTCACTAGAGCAAAAGCCTTTAAAACACTGATATTTAAAATTTTATGAAGCCACAAGGACATTCTGCAGATAACCATGCCAGGATGTTAAAATTCTTTTCTTCCCCATAACACAAGCAACCATACCACTGATTATATTAGAAGGCTTGCAAAGCTTCTCTAATTCTAGTCAGGTATCTCACTTTGAAGTGATGCATACTTAATTCACATCCGAGGGCTACGCAGGCAAATGCGTACGTAAGGAGGAAGGCTGGACGTCACTGTGACGGAAGGTGAGACTGACCAAGCTCACACCAGAGAAAGCATGTCAGGAGATGGTTCCTGCGCTGTGCCACTGTTTCCTGAGCCTATGCTCACTCACCTGCGTCCCAGCAACTCACGCTACTGTGAAGCCTCCGGGTCAAGCTGCCTAAACAAGGGATCACTACACCATCCATCCCATCGTTGCCACGTCTCAAACCAACTCCCTTCTTAAAAATCAAGGCATTGTATGCAATGCCACAAAATTTCCCAGTAAGTTGAGATTCTTATTTTCCATTTGCTAAGTGCTCGTGCGACAGCACTGCCTTACTTGTTGGTAAACAGAAGGTAAACTAAGCTCAGCATTCAGAGTCAGGGGTAAGGATGCACACCTACAATCCAGCACTAGAAGGCTGAGGAGAACTGTGAGTTCAAGGCCAGCCTGGGCTATTCAGCAAGACTCTTGACTCAAAACCAGAACAAAAAGTCAGTGCCTAAGCATTCAAAATAGTCAGTTTTGGAAATGCTCAAATCATTAAACAATCACTGCTTCTAAACAGCAATCCTGAAAGTGCACATTCAGAAGTAGAGAGTGTGCGCAAGGGTAGAAGGCGGCAAACTAGAGCTGGGATTGCAGCCCGGCAGTAGAGCACCAGCAGAGCACTTGAGGTCCTGGGTTTATCCCCAGCACTGAGGGAGCGAGGAGGGGGAGAGGGGGAGAGGGAGAGAAGGTGAGGGGGGAGAAGGGGACTTGGGAGAGGAGAGAGAGAGAGAATTCAGATAAAGAATTCTTTAGGTCTTTGGGGCTGGAGAGATACCTGAGTGGTTTAGAGAACTGGTTGCTCTTACAGAGGACCCAGGTT